GTACTACGAGCTGCACTACCTAGCCTACCGCCACCACCGTCATTGATTATTGAGGCCCCCCCCCTTCCATAAGCCCGAATCGCAAAACAAGTTCTGGGGGGAGGAGGTTCATTAATGTCACGGTAACATTAAGCTCTTAATCACTGTACAATCCCTAGGGGTTCATGGGACTTAGAATCTGGCTAAGAACCCTACTCATATTTGGGGTAACCTACATAGAGGGTTTTAGGGGTTAGGGTTTTAGGGTTTAGGGTTAGAATCCCACTACAAGCAGTTATTAAGTCCCATGAACCTCCAAGTTATCTCCTCATCTAATATCTAGATTTCCCTGCTTGCGTATTCGTAGGAATATTTTGTGAATTATTATGAACCATATATATATATACAACACCGATAAGCCATGATAATTGTTCATAGGGCCCTACCCTAAACCCTGAACCCTAAACCCTAAACTCTACATCTATCGAAGGCCAGGGGTCCTCTACGCACAAGAAATGATAAGGTGTAGGGTCTAGGGTTTGTGGTTTTTGGAGGGTTTGGGGGTTGGGAGGTTAAGAGCAGTCTAGGATTCAGGGTTTAGGGCTTATGGTTTGGGAGGGTGGCTTTACCTTAAAAATATGATATCAGAGGCAAATTTCACTAAGGCAGCCTCCCCGAGAAAGGTGACCTGACATCTTCTCCTTCAAGCATGATCGTAGTCTTTGTATTGTTCAGGTTTTAGGGTCGAGTTCCATGTTGGTTTGGGGAACCCCTCAACCCCGTAACCCCTAAACCCTAAACCCTAAACCCCCAAACCCCTAAACCCCTGAACCCTAAACCCCTCAACCCTAACCCTAAACCCCAGGTAGTGATCCAAGGTCCTTACCATGGGACCTTTATGATGCAGAGCCCTTACCCTGCTTCCTGGATCCCAACTAGGGGTCTAGGGTTTAGGGTATAGGGTTTGGGGGCCTGTAATTGTGTTGGGTTTTGTGGTTATGTGGCCAGGATACACGGCCCCTACGAGAGGCCCATACTTCCAACTGGCTGGGTTCTTGTCAGGAAGCTACAAAGTACGCTCGCACCAACCAAAATGAAACCCTCCCAAAAGGGCCGCGCGAATGTTAGTTTGGGGAAGCAGTGTATACCCTCAAGCCTAAACTCTACATCCCTAAACCCTAAACCGCAAGCCCCAAACCCTAAACCCCAAACCCCAAACCCTAAACCAAAGACCCTCTACCCTAAACCCCAGACCCTCTACCCTAAACCCTGCACCCTAAACCCTCTACATCCCTAAGCCCTAAACCCTCTACCCCAAACCCTAAACCCCAAACCCCAAACCCTAAACCCTCTACCCCAAACCCTGCACCCTAAACCCTCTACCAAGGCTTTAGGCGAATGGGATGGATCCAACAGCGATAACTGCGTTCTGGGCAGCACCGGCAGCTTGGTTCAAGAAGTGGGTTTGAGTCCTTGGGTTTAGGGTTTAGAGCCCAGGTAGTCGGGGTGGGGGGGCGTGGTATTCAGGATCACATAATACTAGGTTTAGGACTGGTTTCTCAGGGTCCCTTTGGGGTGGTTGTTTGTAAGTTTGGGGGAAGTGTAAGTAAATAACACACCTCAAACGTCATCGGGATCTTTGCTGCGTTCACATCATATTCCCAGTGAAAGTGCAGGGCTCTGTGGGTGTTGCTCAGGGCCTCAGATGGATTTGTAGGGATGTATAAGCTATATACGTAATAGGTATAAAAGGTCCCTAGGGTGAAGGTCCCATACAAGGGGCCACAGTTCAAACAACAGATCTTCAAGCAGAATCTTCGTCTGTCGGAGGGATGTTGTCTTGAAACGGTTTAGGGTTTAGTGATGTCCTGAACATGGTCGTTCGCTGAATTTCCCATACAAAAACGAACTTTGAGTTTAGGGACGGGTTCAGCCTATGGTTCATGTTTTTGGCTCACATTATGTATAAAAGCTCTGGTGGCCAGGTATACTATACTATTTCGGTATTCGGACCCTCAAATTTAAGCCGACATTTCAGCCGGGGTCATTCGGATAACTGTTAATCTGAATCAACTTTGAGACCTAACGTTGCTTACAAGTACCGAGAACCCGGCGTATAATTAAAACAAACCTTGAGTACCCTTCCCTAAACCTTTCGACCCTACCTAAACCCCAAGTAGTAAAATAATGGCCCAAAACACCTAAAAACAGCCCAAAAGGCAATTGCTCTACATAATTTTGGGGTGTAGGTACACCTTAGAAGCGTAAACCTTGAGCCTTCGAACTCTTAACTCTCAGTCCCATAGAGCGCTATCCCTGAGACTCACTCTGTTCCCCTACACAGAAAAACCCTCCTTGGCACTTAGCTTGGACCTTAGACCCTTAACTTTTTCGGATTCCCTTCTACTCCTATTATAGGTACCTAAGGGTTAGCCCTTAGTAGGGGTCCCAAGTGCCACGTAGTACCCTACACCTGAAGCCCCCCAACCTCGTGGGCATGAAAGCCCAGGTAACTCGCTGAGAGCTTGCGGCGCGGCGTAGAAGAGAGATTTTGGGGCGTCAGATGCACAAGGGATGTATAGCAATATGGGTAGTTCCCAAAATTAGGGTCCCATTTTGGCACCCCTAAATATTAGGTGCCGTAATAGAACCTATGACCAACAGGGGCCTAGAATGTTGAGAATAACTCATATGATAATATGATAACCCCAAAAATCCCAACAACCAACCTACTCACTTAGCCCCACTGACCCTCAACAAACCCTAGCCCTGCTACGTACCCACGACCCTCCACATAGATCCTTAGAGCGACAGTGTGGGGCTTCAGCTTAGAGTTTAGGGTTCAGGGTTTAGGGTTCAGCGGTTGGGGTTCAAGGGGCGAAATTCCTTGTTCATGGTGAGCTTTGGGGTTGAGGAATCACGTGACATAGCGGGATCCATGGCAAAAGGACTTACAAGTGTAGACAGGTGTTGTTGACCTATTTTTTTCAAAATCCTGCATGGCCGTAGTAGGCAAAGATACCATAATTTTCGCAGGTGCGAGCTGCTTAGGGTCATGCAGCTTTTTTGTAAAATCATCTAGTATAGGCCCCAACGTCCCTGTGGTTCTCCATTTTGTGGGATATGTTCAACAATATCTTGGATTGAAGGGTCAATCAAGTCTTCAACGTTGAGAATCCTCCGGGTATCCAATGATTGAGTAATTGGGCTTTTGTATAGTAATCGTAGTGTATGAACCCTAAACCCCTAAACCCCAAACCCTAAACCTTGAGTACTTTCACCCCTCAAGGATTGAGTTAATGCACAAAGCTCTTAAACAGGTTCATGCTTTAGGGTTTTTGGATGAAGGAATATCATAAATGGAGTATGCTCTTAAATGCATATCTGTAGCTCACACTGTACCACCTTGGTCCCCACGCGAACCTGCATTTACATGTCTTTTTGCATGGGCTTTCCCGAAGCCTGTAGTGCTGAAATGTAATCATATGAAATTCAGTTTAGTTTTGAGTGTGTGGGGTCCAAGGTCGAAGGGCTCGAGCCCTCGACCACGCTGTTTAGGGTTTAGGACATCGCATGTAGGGTTTAGGGCTTAGGGCACCACCTCCTTTAAAGCACTAAACCCTTCATCTTCCCTCCGGAGCCAGATTCTTGTATAAGGATCCGCCTTCATTTATCGCGGTCTTCGGGATTTCATTAGGGTTTTGGGTTTAGGCGTTATGGCTTAGGGTTTATGGCGTAAGGCCTGGGTGGCGTACTTAGCTTAATCGAGATCCTAAACTTTTCCGAAAGAGCCCCGGAGTCTCAGACTCAATCTTTTTTCGGCTTAGACATTTGCCTGCTTTTCCACATCAGCGATGTGTCAGGCAAACCTGTGGGCCTGCCCCCATAGTCCCACTTGAGGTAGGGTTTAGGGTTTAGGGTTTTGAGCTATGGTCTAAACTCCTTAAAAGGGTTTGTATTGGGGATTATACTTGGGAGTATTATAGGGGTTATTAAGAGGGATACTAGGAGTTTAGACTATAGCACATTTGGAGATACTGGAGCACACCCTAAACCCTAAACCATATAGAGAATCCATCCGATCTTCTTCTGGTGTCTAGTACTTTACAAGTAGGATATAGGGGTTTAGGGTTTAGGGTTTTAGGGTTTAGGGTTTAGGGGTAAAGCACCAAGAGAAACGCTGTTCACTTATAGTCCCCCGTAGGTAGATCGAATATGGCGTATATGGGGATCTGATTATAATATACCCAAAGCCATATTATATCTACTTAAGGGGGATGATAACCTGTTAGCAGAGCTAGAACGCCATCACTGTAGGCAACGCGTGGACGGTCACCCTAAACCCTAAACCCTAAATCCTTACACCGGGGATTAGGCTCTTGAAGCAGTCGTGCTTCCAACATGGGATAGCATGGCGCAACGTGGTGATGCTTCTGCAAGCCACCTGGAGAGTATATGAGCTGTAGTCTAAACTCCTTAAAGGGAGTCATGTAGGGAATTATGTAGGGGACTACTATACTTGGAGGCTCATGGGACTTAGTAATTACTTATAACTGGGATTATACCCCTATTTATAATTGGGGTAGCCCCTATAAGCCCATGTAGAGAACTTATAAGTAGGGTTACAAGTCCAGTTATAAGTACTTACTAAGTCCCATGGGCTTCCAAATAGGGGTTATATACGAAGGGGGGTACTAGGAGTTTAGACCCTAAACCCTAAACACTACAACAGGGGGCTACTCAGGGGATACTAGGAGTTTGGACTATAGCTCATATAACGTCCTGCCAGTTGTGCATCACGGTCCACGCAAAGCGTCGGCTTTGTTCCCTGGGGCTCTACACGTTTGGGGTTTAGGGTCTAAGTCTGCAAAAATGCTTACCTTTCGGTCCAAAGTCGTTCCTGTGGCTCTTGGAACCCCATACCCAAAGGGTCCACATAGGTATATGGTATATCCTGAGGGCCCAAAGGTGTTCCCATATCCCTACTTCAAGGCCCAAGTATCTACCATATAGCTAAACGGAAGTTTTGGGATAGTGAAACCTTCTGCCAAACAATCCTATCGGCCTTCTATGGGCTATAGTCTAAACTCCTTAAAGGAAGGTTATATCGGCGACTATATAGGGTTTAGGGTTGTATAAGGGCTTAGGTTTAGGGTGTAACCTCCTGCAAGGACCGTTGGTTATACAGCGGATTATATTGGGGATTAGTATAGGGGGTTACTAAGGAAGATACTAGGATTTTAGGCAACGGTTCATCTACAACGGGCAAGATTTCCCTACCTTCTGAAGTCTATAGGGAGCCCCAGGGGTTTTCCATATCAGTCTCTCGGCACGGCAGGTTCGTTGCACAGTGATTGCTGGTTGTTCATGGGGACTCTACAAATGGAGCCTAGACCCTAAACCCCCTACACTCCCCCAAACTAACATGGAAATCCATATGGCTGGTAGTCAAAATTATGGCCCCTTTTTTGGGTCCCTATTATAATACGGCCCCTAATATTTAGAGTACCCAAAAAGGGACCATAACTTTGACAACCACCCATATAGTCCTGTTTTTTGAGAGACTGTAGGCTTTATAGGGCCCCTGTTGGGTTTCCATGTTAGTTTCCAGGAGTGTAAGCCCTCGAAGCTACGTCTGGCTTTCAGGTCCAATTGCAGGTATCCCCATAATCAGGATTATAGTATATTGGGGTCTATAATGGGGTCCCCCCTGTTTTGGAAAACTACTTCATAGGGTTTGAGAAACAACGATTTTATTTGAGGTTATAGGAACCCTAAGCTTTAGGGATACTGCTGGGACTTCTTTCTCCATGTGAAACAACCAGCGGCAGACTGATTTCATGGGCCTAATTGCTCATTGACCCAACAGCACGACTAAAGCAGGCAGGGTTCAGGGTCTACCATGGCGACAAGTAGGTGTAACAATGGAAAAACCTTACTTAGCCAATAGAAGAACTTAAATCTTTGTAGGCTTCCTTTTTAGGTCTCTATAATAAAG